TTCATGTGTCCCTAATTTCTTTTTCTGAAAATTAGGTATTAGGTAGGTATTTATTCGATTTGTAATGGCAAAGGAGCAACCAAGTCTGTTATGAAACCATTATTATACCCCAGCAAACTAGACAATGGTCAAACAAGCAGCAGCTGACTTCACAGAAAGAATGTGGGGGTAGCAAATATCTCAGAAGGGACTTTTCCCAGTTTCAATATGGGTTGTATTTTCACATTTTTATGAAATGTGCCTTCTGAAAACCTAAGACAATACGATCAACAGATGGAAAAGGCATCTCTACTGCCCGGCTTTTTATAGTCTTCACTATTTCTCCCATTTGGAAAGATGGGGGACTGTAGAAGCCATTGCCTGTGTAAATCAAGTAATCCCACATGGTTGAGAGTCTAGACAGCATAATTTTCATGCCTGTTAACTTTAATCCCTTTTCACGAGACACGAAGACTGTATGGCAAGAATTTAGTTGACAGTAGGAGAAATAAATGACAAACTTTTGACATTTGTAAAGTTCAGAGTATTTTATTATTTTCCTTTGCAAGTATAAATATTGACAGTAATATATAAAACATTGACATGAAAGAACATATGTTCTTGCTGTCTCTTTTGCTGCAAAACACTAATACAGCTAACCCATTTGGGAACATAGAATAATGTTTCCACACATCCTTTGGATTTCTGTTAAATATTAAATACTTTACAAAGTTATTTAAACATGGTTTTCTCAGAAAGATAAACAAATGTTTGTGTATTACTGCAATAATTTAAAATCCTAAAAGTCAAATCGTAGTCCAAGGTTTAATTTTGATGTAAAGAAAAGTCACATATGACTAGGTCACATAGCCCATTCATAATCTTAGTTTAGGCCAGGGTAGCTCAGCTGGAGATGGTACCATATAATCAAAATCCACTTCATTAAGGTACTCAACAAGCCACTGCCCTCCCCTAGTTCAGATTTTGATGGAGACTATGGAGAAAAACTTTTAAGAGGATTGCTGGAGGAAAAAGAGGACACACAGTAATTGGAGCATTGCTGTAGATCTTGTAAGAGAAGACCCATGTTAATCTATGGCAATGTTTCTCAACATCACCAACTTTAAGATGTACATGAACTTCAACTCCCAGAATTCTCCAGCATTCTGACTAGGGAATTTGGGGAGTTAAAATCCATGAGAAACACTGGTCTATGGTAGCCAAGAATTGGGAGTTTGGTAGCATCTTTTCCTACTAACAAAACGTTAAGAGGCATAAACTTCATGTAATCTGATTAAATGAGCTGTTGTCACAGACGTTAATGCTTTTCAAGAATATTTGTCAGGCTGAAAAGATGCTACCCTAATGCCACTGAACATTGAAATGGTCTGACAAAGCTAGCTTAGATCCTAGGAAGCAGATGATGGACAGTTCATAGGAACAGCCCACTAATCAGAAGCAGACTCTTTCAGAACCTGTACATAACAACTAAAATCAGACACATATCCTACAGAACTCAATAGAACTCAGTTCTTTCTAAAGTATACTCAGAACTTTATATACTGAAAACATTGTGACACTGCCGGTTACATAAATCCAGTTCAGGTATAAGTGCTAAGTTTCTATCCATAGCAGTACTTTTTAAGAATTTGTTTTTTAAAAAAAACCAACTGGAAAATATTATAAACAAGAATATTTTATATATAGATAGGGTAAAGGTTCCCCTCGCACATATGTGCTAGTCGTTCCCAACTCTAGGGGGCAGTGATCATCTCCGTTTCAAAGTTGAAGAGCCAGCTTTGTTCAAAGACATCTCTGTGGTCATGCGGCCAGCATGACTAAATGCCAAAGGGGCATGGAATGCTGTTACCTTCCCACCAAAGGTGGTTCCTATTTTACTACTTGCATTTTTACATGCTTTTGAACTGCTAGGTTGACCGAAACTGGGACAAGTAACAGGAGTTCACTCTGTTATGCGGCACTAAGGATTTCAACTGCTGAACTGCCAACCTTTCTGATCGACAAGCTCGGCATCTTAGCCACTGAGTCACTGCATTCCTATATATGTGTGTGTGTGTGTGTGTGTGTGTGTGTGTGTGTGTGTGCGCGTGTGTGTATGCACAAGTGTGTGTGTGCACGCGCGCACACACACACACACACACGCACATGCACACATATATATATAGGAATGCAGTGACTCAGTGGCTAAGATGCCGAGCTTGTCGATCAGAATATACATATATATTTAGATTTTAGATTTTAGATTTTAATGAGCATTTATATGCCGCCCTTTTCCCTGAGGGGACTCAGGGCGGCTTACAACAATGGGGGGAAGGGAGTGCAAGACAAGACTTAAAAGAAAAAAAAATGTGAATAAAGAAATTAACCATAAAAACACAACATTCACTCAACATTCGGGCGGGGTGAGAATAAATCCTATCCCCAGGCCTGACGGGATAGCCAGATCNTGGAAACCCACCATTGTGCATAATAGTTAATCCAGACCTGCATGTGCAAATTTGGAAGCAAATTTCATGTATCTAAGAAATAAGACTTGCCATCCATCTTGTAAACTCTCAGTATTCTTTTTTCCCACACCATGTATATGTATACATTCTAATTGGATTGCAATGTTTCTATGTGTCATGTATGGGTGTGTATGTGGGTATATGCACATAGCCACCCGGAGTCCTTCGGGATTGGACAGCATATAAATATATTTAATAAAATAAATAAATAAATAAATAAATAAATAAAAAATGGTTAGCTTTTGAGAGCTGAAAGCAATGAACTTTCATTTTAATGTATGCTGGTTAGCATACATTTAAAGTGACAATAAAGTTTTTATTCTATTCTAATAAATGGGTTTTTTTTTCAGAGTTAGTATCTACTACTATTGTTACATGTTTTGTTATGCAAAAACTGTGACAGGTTTTATTTCTGTACCATTTTGGTACAGAAAATGAGTAAGTCTAGCCTAATTTAGCAAACTTTATTATTTGTTGCAAAAAATAGACATGAAGCCATCTTATTTATTATCACGTTCACCCTTAAATATCATATTTGATATTTGTTGCTAACTTCAAATTATACATGTTGTCTTCTCTTCATAAGCTTATACAAATTACGGTGTAAGAGATAAAAATGTTTCTATCATATGCTAAAGTTGTTTCTGACAGTTCTTGTAGCTAAAAAGAAAATCAGTCCATGTGAAAATATGGTTTATGAATCATTGGAATGCTATTGTTCTGGCTAAATATATATCAAATGAGCTTTTAATTTATCATGGCAACTCTGAATGACAGTAGAAAGGGGATATAAATAGTGTGTATGCATATTTTGGAGACTCATTCATTTTCAGGAATTTATGTGCCACCCAGTTCCAAAGATATTCTGTCATTCAAAAATGGAACAGAAATAGAATTGAACGAATAAAAAAATATCAGCTCGCCAATCTATCAACATTTTCCTAGATCCGTGATGGCGAACCTATGGCACACGTGCCAGAGGTGGCATGCAGAGCCCTTAATATGGGCACATGAGCCATCGCCAGCTGCTCTTTTGGTTTCTGGCATGCACATGCACGCTGGTGCACTGGAAACCCGAAGACCTTCTGGCCAGCTGGCCTTTGGGCTTTCAATGCGCATGCCGGTCTTTGGGTTTCTGGCACGTATGCCTGCGCACATGCCAGAGATGGGTTCCTACCAGTTTGAATCAGTTCAGCCAAGTAGGTAGTAACTCGGCCACCCACACCCCCAACCCGGTTCTATCAGCGGCACCATAGGAGGCACCATCTTGGTTTTTTTTACCATTGTGCATACACGCATTGTGCACGTCAAGAGTGCACACAAAACATGCATCAAGAGTGTGCACAAAGCATGCATCTAGAGTGTGTACAAAGCACACACAGACACCTGAAGTACATTCCTGAGTGAACTGGCAGTAGAAAAATCCGGAAGCAACCCAGGCGCATACATTCTAGTTTGGGAACTTGGTGCTGAAAAGGTTCACCATCATTGTCCTAGATGTATTGACTACTGAATGGAGAGGAATCATCTTATGCCCAGTCCCCAGATGTTTTCCAGAACAACCAAGCCATGATAGCTTTCGGAATGTCAACAGGATTAGTGCTAACCTGCCTTCACATATAGCATTCTTGCAAAGGAAAGGGGCAGGCAGAAAAGCCCCACTCTTGTGATTCCTGAAGATGGGAATCCCTCAAATATGGGATTCAGACGTCCCTGCTAGATCTTATTGGATGGACATAAACCACTCAGACTAGAAGGTCCTGCAAATGTTCAGCACTTGACCTATATAAAGTTTTAATTATAATAACCAGCATCTTAATCACTAGTGCAAGTGGGGTTGCTCTGGCAAACAGAGAAACCAGATCATAAATATGTTCAGATTATACTATTTCACTGGCTTTGATGAAATTCCATAAATTACATTGTGCCCTGTTTTCTTAAGCATATGCTCAACAGTCTAACACGCAAACAATAGTTAGCATCATGTGCACTTTGATTCATGTCAACAAAACACTTCACATTGTTGTGTGTGTGTGTGTGTGTGTGTGTGTGTGAGAGAGAGAGAGAGAGAGAGAGAGAGAGAGATTGCTCAATTTAACAACACATTCTGAAGTTTATATTAGATAGATAGATAGATAGATAGATAGATAGATAGATNGCTTCCTCCATGTAAGTAGAGTTCACTTTTTGAGTAAAGTAAGAATTATATGTGGGGGGGGGGGAATCAGGATTTTAAAGATGCTTAGGTGGGGCATGGCCAAAAAATGGTTGGGAACCACTGATGTAGAGTAATAAATGATGATTTAACAATCAATTCAGAGAGTGAGAGGATTTACATCTCATTCCCAAACATCACTAAAATTAGCCTAGGCCTTCTGAATTTAAATAATAAATGACAAATTTTGAATTTATTTAAATTATCAATTATTTATGTCCTAAATCAACTTAAATGACCTCAACCCAAGTACACAGTTTCTTTACATGATATTTTACCAAGGCAGAAGCGTGAGGTATATACTTCATATCTTTCTCCAGAACTGTGTTACCTAAAAGTAAATAGAAGTTTTAAATTATTTCACATAGGGATAATTGTAATTTTAGTGTAATTCTAACAGAAGAACATTTCTTCTATCAATATTAGACCTTTATATATGTATTTGTAAAAATATGCATCTTAGCTGTGGAATGTCATTTTTTAGTTATATTCATATATTAGCTACAATTCAGTACCTTTTATTTTCATTTATATTTTAAAAAACCTAAGATTCATCCCCAATTTTAAAATTCAGGGCAGACTGACTGTAAAATAATTACTTGCATTTTAGAGTGAAGATTCTTTAGAATGTCAAACATCATACAAAAACACATGCTTACCTGTGTGTTATCATGTGTAATACACTTTTCTCTTCATGAGTCTTCCTAGAATTAACTGAGAAAAGATGTTATTAGTTAATACCATTCTTTACTGATGTGGCTCTTTATGTTACTTGGATAGTCTTTCCTCTATGAATTCTTGGCAGTGTACGTGGCTCTATTCCAATGGGTTTTTTGGCTATATAGTGGCAAGTAGATGAGTTTTTCCCTTAATCTCAACATCCTAGTGCCATGATGGTGAACCTATGACACCAGTCAGTGGTGGGTTCTGGATCCTGGTGCAAATGGTACAGTGCAAGGGGGCTCGGCATCCCCCACATAGCAATAGCAATAGCAGTTAGACTTATATACCGCTTCATAGGGCTTTCAGTCCTCTCTAAGCGGTTTACAGAGTCAGCATATTGCCCCCAANATAGATAGATAGATAGATAGATAGATAGATAGATAGATAGATAGATAGATAGATAAGAATCATACTAATATGGCCTATTCTGTCATTTGACCTGAATCCATGATTGTCCTACAATTAGATCAGAATGATAAGTGAAGGTTATATCCCTGTCTTGTAATAGCAACAACATAAATGATGAGATTTTTGCAATTATTCCCATTATTAGAAAAATAAGAAAGACAATCACATTTTGTTTGTTGTTATAGGGCTTAGTTCAAAATTTTTATAAATAAGCAAATGTAGGAACACATCTGTAAGAAAAGAAGTCAGATTTATATATTGGTTTGTTTACTTTACAATTTGTGTTTGCTACCCACTCAAATGACACAAGTGACAGATTATTTGTGGGGGGGCAACTACATGTGACATTATTCTTCCCACCCGTTATGTTTCTGAAATTGCATAATCACTACTCAGAAAATGCAAAAAGGACATAATATCACTTGCCATTCTTGAATGGGCACAACTGCATTCTTCGTGCATCTAAAATTGCCGGCCACACCTGTAATCCAAATATGCATCCATTAATTCCAATCACCATAACTTTTAAATTGCTTTTCAATTTAAGTATCTATTGCTCATATGACACTGTCTACATGGCCTTTCTCCTAAAGCGTCTTATGGAGGAATCGAAATAACATAAATGTACAATAGGAAAGAATACGCCAAAAATAAACTTCTCAGTTCTTCTCTTGAAAAGATCTAAATAAAATAAATGTCATTTTTTTTGTAATGATTAAATATTGAAAACTGGATGTAATACTAATGCAAACCATTTTGAGATTTTTGCTATCTGTGTATCATGGGTGGGAGGTTTCCATTTAGGATTAGCCTCCCCTAAGTCATGATCTTGTCAGGGTTCCAAGTAACACCCCTAACAAAAGAAGACACCGAGCCTTGAGTTTCCTCAAACTCATTTCATTAGAGATGTCATATTGGCACATCTGGGAAAACCCAAATCTGAAAGCTTCCAGGTTTTCCTCATCCAAATGAAAATTCAAGTCCCTGCCCAGCACCCACATGTCCATCACATGGTCCAATCAAACACCGTCCCAACTGGAGATGCCTCCCAGTCACACCACTCTAGGTGCAGGTCAGGGGTGAGTTCCAGATTCTTTTACTGCCGGTTCACTCAGGGACACGCTTCAGGTGCATGCACGCTTCACGTATGCGCATGCGCAATATAACCGGTTTGGGGGCGTGGACAGCCGAGTTACTACCTACTCGGCTGAACCAGGCCAAATCAGTAGGAACCCACCTCTGGTGCAGGTCAGAATGACCTTGACTCTCTGAGAAAGGAATGTTATTTAAACTATATATCTCCCATACTCTATATAATCCCCCCTCTCATTTTTCCACAGCAATAAATGTGGCAGGCCTGAACGCCCAATGCAAAAGATGGCTTCCGGGCCTGACAGATCTCAGAGTTGTCTGCAGATTGTGCTCAAAAATCTCAAGATGGTGGCCACAATGGCATAGACAAAGCGCCAGCTGATTGTTTTTGTATATTGACCCAATCCCGTAGACAGCTGTGAATGGGTATTTTAAGGATTCCTGTATATTGAGCTAATTCGTATATCAAGCTACATGGAAACATTTACCTCAATGCACAGACAAGGCAGAAGTTGAGTGTATTGCAAAGAAGCAGATTTCATCGCGTCTTTTCCCTGAATCTGAAATGATAAAACAGGAGGTGACAAGTCAAATGTTTTTGCACAGACGGAAGAGTTGCAGAAAGATGCATGTATCTATACAAATATCATCTGGGCATTTTGCTGTTCCGCACAGCAGGTCTTCAAGCTGGCACAAGATGGTTTCCTCAGAACTTTAAGCTTAATACTGCAAAACGTTGCAGTTATTTATGGATTATTCCAGGATCATGGTAGAATTAAAGCTGTCTTTTGACTTATTTCAAAGTAATTCCATGTGTATGTTTAGACTGCGGGGATTACTTGGGAAGAAAGAAAAGGATTTTGCAGTTGTGCCAAAGACAATTTCCTAGTCAAAAGAGATGGAGAGAAGTCCTACTCCTAATCCCCTTTAGAAGACTTCATATTTTTGAATCTCAATTATACCCCTAGCCTCCCTCCCAATGACATGGTTTATCCATCTTTGCTTTCCAACCATTCTAGTTACATTTCTTTGCATTAACTTTCTTTAGCACTAGTTTAAACATTAAAAGCAGATAAATATGGTCCAAAGTTAACAGGGGTCAGTCTAATATTTACTGACATAAGAATATGCTGAGAAATCTAGTAATGACCCTGTAGGAAGTTAACACCCACCCCTCTCCTAGGGAAATGAAATATTTTAAGAAATATTAAATGGAACATTAAGGCCTGGGCCAGTGTATTCTACCTAACAAAGATCTATCTCCTTCAGGCAGAGCCATAACAGAAATCCCAAAGCCCTTTCATTACATGATCACCCAGCAACAGCTTAACCAAGCTTGGGACTCAAAAGACAACCTACAACCTACAAAGTTGTCCCTGCAAGACAACCAATCAGAATAGAAGCTCAATTTCAAAAGCCAAGAGGGAGAATAAAACCCAGGGACTCTCAGCATCTCTCCCCTTTTTCTTCAAGATCTTTAAGGCAGGTGATCGCCTTTTTGCCCAGGTCCTCAAGCCATGTGGCCCTGTCCACCATTAAAACCATATTTCCAAGCAGTCTCCATGTTTCTAGTGTCTTTCTCCCCACTTGGAACTGAACCCAGATGGACATTTCTTCCAACAATCCCAAGAGGGTATCTATAGTCCATTATTGACTATAGGAATATCTATTGGAAATTGATAAGCAGAACACAAAGACATTATTGGGGGAAGAAATCAGAAATTGATGGAAGTTCCTAATTTCACACAGTCCTGAAAAAGTTAAGCTTCCTCTCAAATAGGAGCAAAAGGTGAAGGTCTCGGTCAAAGATCTGGTTGAAGAAAGAAGATTTTGTGTACAAATCCTTAGAAAGTCAGAAGGAAGGGAGGGAGNCAGAGGGATAGAATCAAGATCATGTGAAGTACTAGCGCCACTCTACAAAGCCTTGCTAAGACCACACTTAAAACACTGCATCCAGTTTTGGTCTCCCCAATAAAAAAAAAGATGTTGAGATTTTGGAAAGAGTTCAGAGAAGAGCTACAAAAATGATTAGGGCCCTAGAAGATTTAAAAAAAACATATGAAGAACAATTGCAGGAACTTGGTATACCTAGTCTAATGAAAAGAAGGACCAGGGATGACATGACGGCAGTCTTCCAATACTTGAAGGGTTGCCACAAGGAAGAGGTGGCCAACTTATTTACCCAAGCAGGAGGCAGGACAAGAAACCTTGGATGGAAACTAATCAAGAAGAGGAGCAACCTAAAACCAAGGAAGAAATTCCTAGCAGTGGGAACAATTAACCAGTGGAATGACTTGCCTCTAGAAGTTTTGAGTGCCCCATCACTGTAGGCTTTTAAGAAGAGACTGGATAGTCATTTATCAGAAATAATATAGGTCTCCTGGAAGAACAGATGGTTGGACTAGATGACCTCCAAGGTCTCCTCCAATTCTGATACTGTTAGCTTCCTTGTGAGTTGAGTTCCAGAACATGACTCTCCCCTACCATTAAGGCTCGTCTGGCTGATTGTGGCCATGCCCTTTTGACATCAGAAGTGTTTAGAAGCAACTTTCCTCATAAATGCTATTTATTTATTATTGTATATTATTGTCCATTTTAGTTTGTGAATAATTCAGAAAGCAAGAAAATAAACAAATATCCACGTTAATTCCCACAAAGGATATAGTGGGAACATTTGAGATGGCTTTGATTACAAAAGAAATAATTTTTCAAAGCAATCTTGAGTCAATACAATACAATAGCAGAGTTGGAAGGGACCTTGGAGATCTTCTAGTCCAACCCCCTGCCTAGGCAGGAAACCTTATACCATTTTAGACAAATGGCTATCCAACATCTTCTTAAAGACTTCCAGTGTTGGGGCATTCACAACTTCTGGAGGCAAGCTGTTCCACNCAGCATCACTAAATGCCAAAGGCGCAAGGTACGCTGTTATCTTCCCACCAAAGGTGGTTTCTATATTTCTACTTGCATTTTTACATGCTTTCAAAATGCTAGGTTGGAAGAATCTGGGACAAGTAATGGGAGTTCACTCTGTTACGCAGCACTAGGTATTCGAACCGCTGAACTGCTGACCTTCTGATTGACAAGCTCAGCATCTTAGCCACTGAGCCACCATGTCCCGTTGACTAGGGATGCATAATTACTGCACTATGGATGCCGTTGAGTACAAACTTTACAATGAGTTTCTCAATGGAGCCCATAATGAATTCACTATTCTTGGTTTCCCTGTAAGATATTTGAAGTTACTGGATGTAAGGGAGAAGTGTTTTATTTACTTTGCTTAGTATCCCTGTAAGGTGGGGTAGGAATGTTCCCTTTTTTAAATGATGCACATTCATGAATATGATGGACTTCCCTGTCTCATCACTTCCTTGAAAGCCCTTGTATATTATCCTCTTCCTGGCATTTCAGAAAGTGATACATAAAGTGGAAGCATGAGTTGGAGAGCCCAGAATTGCTGCAAAAGAAGGTAGCCTTTTTATTTCTGCAACATGATCAGGCAAGCCAAAATGAACTTCCTCTTCCAACTCAAGAAATACATGCTTTCATATAGTCATGCAGGTCTTTAGCATTGATATGAAATAGGAGTATTTGTAGAGAGCTCCAAATTCTGAGTACATTTTTTACTGGGTTACTTTGTGTTTTTTATAGAGTGTGATAATTCTTCCATTACCATGCAGTTTTCATTTTTAAAAATCAGCTGAATGAAAATCAATGGATTCCAGAGATCCATATATCCTCCATCCTGATTCACCCACTCCAAAACTCATAAGATACATGGTTAGTTAACTATACAGAGAGTGTAATATGCAGTTATGAAAACCTTCTCTATTATTGATGTTTGCAGATAAGCTTCTACATTATAAATCCATCTCTGGATGCAGATCACATTAATTCAAAATATTTGGCAATGCTTTCATTTAGTTTTGTTCGTTTCATTTTGCCAGTTTTGTAAAAGGGGATTAGCATTGGCTATAGGTGTGTCTTGATTCAGATGTTGCTTCGTATGTGTGTCAAGAATATAAAGCAGTATCTTTCATGTTTACAATAAGACATCTGGGTGATTCAAATTTTAGAGAAGTGAGAGATTTGTCAAAGGGAAAGTACTGTATTTACAACCTAGAGCGTGAATCAGCAACCCGGCTCTGGAGACACATGTGGCTCTTTCATCCCTCTGCNGGGTCCTCATTTTACCCACCTCGGAAGGATGGAAGGCTGAGTCAACCCTGAGCCAGTGAGATTTGAACAGCCGAACTGCAGAACTGCAGTCAGCTGAAGTAGCCTGCAGTGCTGCATTTAACCACTGTGCCACCTTGGCTCTTATGCATGCATGTGCGCATGCGTCCTTACCCCTGTGATGCCTCTGCGACACTCCAGCTGCTCAGCAGAGCGTCATGCAGGTGTCATATGCTTTGTGCACAGAAGCGCCGAAGAGCTCAAATATAAGTAAGGAGGTCAGGCAAGCTGGTGGGCTCTCCAGAGCACCGTACCGGAATGGTATCCGGTGCTCCCGACAGGCACCATTACACCTGTACCGGGACATACCATCTGTAACCCACCACTATGGCCAGTGCACATGCACACGCTGGAAGCCAGAAGTTCATTTCCCACTGTGTGCATGCCCACTTGGCAGGTTCTCTTCCAGGGCGCATCCTTGATGAGTGTGCATGTGTGCTCCCTTTTTGGCACTCAGTGCTGAAAAGGTCTGCCATCACTGCCCTAGTGAGTTCATGTTGTCCTTGATTCACCTGGCCACCAACCATTCAACTGTGGAAAGCTCCTCTGAGCATGTATGGTGATGGCACTGGATTACGTTAGAACTAGGATCTCCATTGGGAAACTGATGGTCTATCTGAAACATGTTGAACATATTAAATGAGAACATGCTACGAGCGTTTAAATTCTAAAATGACTGTGGGAAAGCATATCATTCCCAAAGCATGGAGGTTACCTGCTACTCCATTCTAACTGGCCATTCCACAGAAAGCTCTTGGCTGCTACGGCCAGCCATTGTCCTTTTTCTGAGAAGATGGACACACCTCATTTGCAGGTGGTCATCTTTTTTATTTTCAAAGAAACCTTATGTTATCTATTTAAAGGACACCTGGGAAATTCCATAAGATTCCAAAGGCAGTGAAAGGCATTGCAGCATTGGAGTTCCACAATTCCACAATTTTTAATTAAGAAATTCAGTATTAAAAAATCAGCTGGGCTGACTGAGAGATTGATCAGAACCAAAAAAAGGTCTCTATGTCTCATTGAGTTCCTTGCACTCATTGAGACACCCTACTAGAGTTCCCAAATACATTTTATTTGGCCTATAAAGGTAACGATAAAGGTTCCCCTCGCACATATGTGCTAGTCGTTCCCGACTCTAGGGGGCAGTGCTCATTTCCATTTCAAAGCCAAAGAGTCAGGGCTGATCAAAGACATCTCCGTGGTCATGTGGCCGGCATGACCAAAATTCTGAAGGCACATGGAACGCTGTTACCTTCCCACCAAAGGTGGTCCCTATTTTTCTACTTGCATTTTTACATGCTTTTAAACTGCTAGGTTGGCA